TGTCTGGGTCTGGGAAGCCTCGATCTGTTTTTGGCCCGGCAGCGCTGCTGTGGTCGCTTGTGGTTGTTGTCCGTGTCAAGTATCTGCCTTTACGGCTGTCAAGACTTAGTTGCCCAGGCCAGCACGCACACACACACACACACACGCACGCACGCGTACACACGCACACAATTAAAAACAATCGCAGACGCATAAATTCTACCACAATTAACTATCACCTCTGCTGACAAAAAGACACAGCTTGGTTTCTGTTTCTGTTTCGGTTTCTGTCCGTGACAGCACCTGAACAGGATTTTGAATGCATTCCCAAACAGATTTAACATTTTTGTAAAGTATTTTTTATCTGTTTATTTTTTTTTTCTTTGTGTTTTTCCAGCTAATTTGGGCTTTCAAGTGCCTGCAATTCGCATATATCTAAAAGTTTAACCCGAAGTTTGCTTTATCATGCAGTTAATTAACATTCCGTTTTGGAACTAGTTGGCGCATGTTTTAAATGGAGCTTAGTCAAGCGAAACAACATAAACGAAAGCCAAAAAACAACAACTAATAACTAGTTTTAATAGCTGGTGAAATTCGAGCGAAATGGAGCTTTCAGGCAAAACCAACAAATGTTTTTGGTATTTAGAATTGTTGCAGTCAGCTTCAGGTTCTAAAGGTATTTTTCCTGAGTGATAAAACTCTTGTTAATCTCAATTTCAAAAGTTTTCCCAATTATGTTTTTATATAATTAGCGTGAATTTAAACCACGACAGCAGATGATTATGTTAAGTTCGAATTCACTTCAGGCTTGGCTTCAGCTTGGCTTAATTTGAAATTTCCTTTGAATGTGGTTCGGCTTGTTGTTTAGTATAAATGCAGACATTTTGTTACATTGCATTGCCGACGGGACGTGGCTGCTCAGCTGTGCGCTTACGTTGCGCATACGCCATGTTTTACCGTCGATTGTCTGGCAGAATTCGGTGCCATAAAATTCACATTTAATTTAGTTGTGTGTGCTTGTGTGTGTGTGTGTGGGTGTGTGTGTATGGTTTGTTTTATGCCTCGAGTCAACCTCTTTGATGTACATTGATTTAGTTGTGGCTGTGCTGTGTAGCTATTGCGCCTGCCACGCCCACAAGTAACTCTTGCGTGTGCATTGAAATTTATATGTCGCTCAACGCGCTTTGATTTTGATTTTCCTTTTGTTTTTACATAATTTTTTGTTGTACTTTTAGCGCGCCTCGCGCCCAGCCGTGCAGCCCAGCCCAGGCAGACAAATTTATAACGACATCGCCTATATTTATAGACGCCTTCACCTGTCTTGCCAAAAATCACTTACGAAATTAAATTTGTTGCCGCCTGTCGCTCTCCATTTGTGTTGTTGCTGTGCCCCAACTCTCTCTCTCTCTCTCTCTCTCGTTCTCTCTCGCCCTGTTTAGTTATGGCTGCCTCTGTCTCTGTGTTTTGGCCATTAGCTAGCATTGAAAGCACACATTCGTTTAACTTAGTTATTTGCCAATTCGCGAGAGAAGCTCCTCAGCACCTCAGCACCTCAAGCCTCCTGCTCATTATCATCATCTTCCTCATCATCATCATCATCTGCCACATCATCGTCATCATCTACAATATCTCTTTCATGAGCAACTGGGAAATGTTGCACATTTCACAAGCGTCATGCGCCAGTTGTCAGCTTATTATATGATATACCACATAATCTACTCAATGGATCTCAAAAGTTGTATAGAGTAAGCTGCTAATTGACTGACGATAGGAATATGGACATGTATGTTAACAACTCTTTTTATATATTATTCATTTATAAACATAGTGCATTATTAACTAGTCGCATCTTCCATTTATTCGCATTCCTTTTTAAGCTGAATTGAAGAAATGTTTAGTAAAAAGCGCATTATTGAAGCTCTATAATTTAACATAAACAGCATTTATTCGGAGTAGCTCAAGTTCTAGAAATGTTTAATGTTGTCTCTGGCTCTTAAAAAGTAAGAGATTTGCTAAACAGGATTTCGATATCGAATCGATATCGATTATCAATACAACGAACTCGTACTGCGTGGGCAGTTGGAGGACCTACGTCAAAATATTATGTCTATAGCTCTTATAGGTTCTGAGATCCTTGCGTTCATACATACGAACGGACGGACGGACGGACAAACGGAGAGTCGGACGGACATGGCTAAATTGACTCGGCTATTGATGCTGATCGAGATATATATACTCTATGTCGTCGGAGATGCTTTCTTTTGCCTGTTACATACGTTAGCACAAAATCATTACACCCTATATGTTTCTTATTATGACCATTTAACTAAATGCGAAGCTTTAGTAGAATTAAGTCTGTGATATTCGAATCGTCGACTTCAAAAAGCATATATGTACTGGTATATTTTTTATTTATTTATTATATGGTCGACAAATACGACTACTAGGAAGACCCTAGTTATTTAATATATCAAATTATAAAAATTAAGACCCAAAAGCCTAATTAGAATACACAATTTTCTAATAGCATCACCGACCGATGGAGGTGTTTTATTTACTTCTTTCTCAGTGACAAATATAATATATAGTCTGATTATAAGGCCTATAAAACATATTTGTATAGGTAGAGTACGGGTATTCATCTTAATCAGCCTCTTAATCAGGACCTGAAATTGGCGGGCTGTATGTGGAAGATATTAAGATATTTAGAACAAGCTTCATTCGAGGCAAATTCATCAACTTAAAGATTCCAGTTTTATGAAGTGCGACTTAGACTTTAAGGCTTATCTATATAAAATGACCACAGAATTTTTGTAATTTAAATCCAATTTCAAGTTACAATGATGATAAGTAAATAAAATAATAAATTAAATATTACACAGCTAAGCAAAAGAGCTTTTGTCTCATTACATTTAACAAAATGTAGCAAGCAACTGGATTAGCTAACAAATGCAGGGTATTCAGGCATCTATCAACTTTCCTCTTTTGTTTTTGAATAACATTTCATTGTTGTTGCTGTTGCTTGTCTTATTCCGATCAAATTTGCAAAAACATGTCTGTCGCATTTATAAATTACATTTGAGTAGATGGCCTGCAGGTATTTTATTTTATTTGCTTATTTCGGATTCCGGATGTGTTGTGCACACACACACACACACACGCACACACACACACACGCACATACACACCCATATATATATATGTCTCGGTGTCTCTCTAACATATGTATATGGAAATGTACAGCAGATACTTATTTGATTGCTCACAACAATTGCCCTGCCTTCGGGGCGGGCTGCGTTTGTTGTTTTCATTCCGTTTGCTATTTACATTAAACTAATTAATTATATTTGAAATTTGAAAAGTATTTGTTTTGTTGCCCCAAAAACAAAATCACTTTAAATGAATTAATGGAATTAATTAAAATAAAACAGCTCGCAAACATTTTTAGCTTTAATACGTTTGCCGCGCAAATAAATATTTTGCGCAGTAAAATATACTTGTTTTTTTTTATGTTAGTTCAAATAAAAAGCTTTCAATTTGAGCCAAAAGTTCCCAGCTTTGCGATACACTATTCCTTTTTGACGAGCTTCAACAATTGTATTAGAAAAATATTTTATAAAACACATTGATTCGATTCGAAAAATAACGTAGAAATATATTTATAATTAAATTTATTTGTTTTTTGAGTTCAATACTTCAATTGTTAACTTTCAATTATTCTTTTTGTACCCTTGTAGATGCTTTTATAAATTTGTCGTTAAATGTGCAACGCATTGACGGAGACACATCTCCGACTCCCTATAGTATATATATTCTAGATCAGCATCAACAGCCGAGTTGATATAGCCAAGTCCGTCCGTCTGTCTGTCTATCTGTTACTATGCAAACTAGTCTCTCAGTTATAAAGCTTTCCTCTTGAACCTTTGCTTAGGTCCTTGTTTCTGCTCCAGCCAGTACATATGTTGCAACCGGCCGGATCGGACCTCTGTATCGTATAGCTGCCATGGGAAAGATTGGACGAAATGTAGGTTTTCTTTTTTATATGCAAACTCTTATCAACATCGCAATACTAAATCATAAAGTGACATAGATCGAAAACTAGGTTAATGTATGGCAGATGCAAAAGGCAAATGTCTGCAAGGGTATTGAATCATCGGCTTGTGTCGAAGATTTCTTTATATTCCTGTTGTTAGATTATTTTGTCATTCATTTTGTATGTATATATGATATCAGCAATTTGTTGGCTTCAACTCCATTAATTTATCTGATTCATTTATAGCTCGCAGTTTTTCAAATTAAGAAATGTGAAGTAAGCTCTCAAGATATTCGAAATGTCAGTCCTAAAAACTAAATTATTTTAAGGAGCAGCCGATGTACCTAATGTATGCATAAAATATTTTAATATAGTATATACTTATATAATATTTATATAGTATATATAAATAAATTAATACCGTAATTATATTAGTATTAACATTTCAAGCGCCGTGAAAGCTGCGCTCATGAAAAAGACTCAATGTTTTGCTTTCTTTTAAGCAATAATAGGTATTATATGTATTATCCCCTTAGTAATTGGCCCTATTTAAAATGCTTAAAAACAGGTATTTCAGCTTGCCACAAGAAGCCGCACGAAACACCGAAAGCAACAACAATGGCAACAACAAGAAAAAATAAAAATAATCACATCATTTATTTAGTTGTCTCCTGTTTCTGTTTCGTTCTCTCTCTCTTTTATTTTTTTTTTGCACAAATTAAATGCACCTTTACATTGTTTTTGTGTGTCTGTATGTGTGTGTGTGTGTGTGTGTGTGTTGTTTTTTCTGTGCTTGTTTTTTGTTTTTGCTTAATTCTTTTTGTTGGGGAGCAATTTTGATGCACTTGCTGCTGGTTTTTGGTTAGTTAATTTGACGGTTTTTCTTAATTTTTGATGTGTTGTGTTTTCTTTGCGTTTAAATTGTTGTTTGTGCAATTGTTTAAGCACACACACGGCTCATTAATTATTTATTTGTGTGGCTACTCACCGACAGTTGTTGTTGTTGTTGTTGTTGTTGCTGCTGCTGCTGCCACAAATCAATCAAATATTGTTGTGCCTTGCTCGGAATTGTTGAAGGTAGTTTTTTTTGTTTTTGTTTTTACTTAGCTTTGCTTTTAGTTTGTTATTGATTTGTTGCACGTTCAAAGATTTTGTTTTAAGGTTGTTTTTTTGTTTTTTTTTTTTTGCCCCCGCCCCACAATCTGTCGCGCCGACGAGCGCTATTGAGTATACAGAAACGGGGTTTGTGTATGCGTTAATTAAATGACTGAGGCTTTTGTTGAAATGTCTTTTTGATTTATGCAAGAACAACAAGAGTTTCCGCTTAAATGTCCCAACTGTTTAGCGCCTTTCGTTACCGTGCCACAATGGGCCGCAATTTGTGTCTATTGCGAAATCTGGCAACTGGCCGCAAAAGTAAGCCAAAAACGTAGTGTACAAATATTTATGCACATAAATTTCAAAACATTTGCCCCCCCCTACCCGCTATCACCTTGCGGCCCAGCCAAATTACACAAATTACACACTCATTTAATTTCATTTTCGCTTCTTGGCTGCATTTTTTTTTTTTGTTTATGCCACGAGATTCTCATGAATGAACAGCTGTGTGTGTGTGCAGTTGTGCGTGGGTGTAGTTGTGCGTGGGTGTAGCTAACACTTTGAACTGATTATAAAAATCAGCAAGTAATGTTTATGGATTACATGAGCCGCTGCAGCACTGCAGCTGCGGCTTTCGCTGGAAGCTGTACAAATTCTTAGTGAACCTCAAATGACCCAACAGCAACAAAAAGGTTAACATTTAGAAGTTGAGTCGGTTGCCGTGCTCCTCGTGTGCAGTCATCAATTTACAATCTGTTCGCTCAAGCAATGTGTGGCGACAAAAGGAGAAGCATTTCAAACTTTTGCTGACCGGAAGACAGCTCAAGCAAAGGGGAGTGCCCGTAACCCGGAACCCTCACGGACTGTCGAACTGTGTCCTGGCTGGGCCGCAGGACCTGTGACTCTAGGACATATATAAAGTTTGGCAGCAGCTTTCAAATCTGGCAGCTGGCACTTAAAACACCTGCTCTGCAGGTATACAGCAGTCATGGAAAGTGTATAAAAGAAGCTGAAAAGCTTTCGCTCCAAAGTCGAGGCTTTAAGATCTTGTCATTTTACGTTAGGTATGACTGACTTTATCTTATCATCAAAATTAATTGCAAATATATGTAGTCTCATGTATGCCGGCAGTAATATATTTAAGTAACTTTACGCATCTGTGTATTTGCACACATTTCAATTTCGAGCGCGCGCCCCATGTGGCGTATGCGTAATATTTCTAATGCAATGCACAGCTCGGCTCTCAGATGCACATTTATATGAAATGGGCTTAAAACGTTTGCAAAGCAACCGAGCCACGCACCAACACACCAACACACACGCACACACACACGCACACACACACACACACACACACTTGGCAAAGTAAGCCTCACATAAAAGCTGTCGCGGAAACGCGGCGTATGAGCAATTTTTTCTAAATAATTATTGCGACGCATGCTTCAAATTTTGTTGTTGTTCCCCTTGGTGCTCAGGGGTAAGAGATTGAGTTAGGTGGGGTGTTGCTTTCGCTCTTCCTCTTATTGCTGTAGTTTTTGTTGTCATTTTTGTTTAGTTTTTTATGTTTGTTTTTTTCGCTTTGATTTGAAATTAAAAATGAATGAACGTCGCTTTAATATTTAAACAGCACCCGAACTAAAACAATGCCAAATTTTTGTTTCTGGTTATCTATCGTAAATTGTTTTTTTAAGGGCACGACATGTAATTAAATATGCGCAATTATTTGTTCAGTTGGGGTCTGTTTGTATGGTTTAGTTAAATTTATTTGCCGTCTTTTTTATTGCCCTGCACCCATTGAGAGTTTGTAAATAAAGGAAGGCCCAAATAGTTTTGTGTCAAATGTTGAAGAACAGGCAGAAGAGAGCATTTGATGAACTGATGAACTATATTTCAATAAAAATTATAAAAATAATCATTTGTAAAGCTAGATCCTTGTGCTTTGTCATGCTATACTGCTATATTTATGCCCTGAACATTTCGGTAAGATTGGCTAAAAAATAAAGCTAAAACCTTGGGCATTGGTAAATACACACTTTTGATTGCTAAACGTATGCCCTGAAAATTTCATAAAGATCGGACAAAGAACTCCAAAGTTAATAAAGACTGCATTTCGCATAGTCTGGGGACTGCACTTCCCAAGGGAAAAAGAAGCGCAGCAGCTGTGTAAAATGCGCAGCTTCAGCGCGTGTGTGTGTGTGTGTGAGTATGATTATGTGAATAAGTGTTTAGAATGAGTTCTAATGTTTGTTACAGCAGCTCGGCATATGGTAAAGTCGGGCACTCCCTACTAGAGTACTCTTGGGTTGGCTTTTTATTTTTTTTTTAAATTGACGCACTCAATGTGAATGTCTCTTTCAAGCCAACACATCCGCCCACACACACGTACACAGAGCCAATTGGGCTTGTGTGGCCATTTGACCAAGAGCTAAAACCATTTTTCTGGCCAAGTTATTTATGGCAGCTGAACCACAACTCACTAGTAAACACTTCTATGTTAGGTAAACAAAAGAAAAAAGATCTGTTGAAAGCAGAAAAAACTCCAGTATTCAAGCATCGAAATGTTGCATAGTTTTCGGCAAATATTGCCTGAATTGAGACATTGCAAAAAGTTTGCCAAATGTTTGAATACGTCGTTCCATGAGCCTGATCAAGTACAATTTTCCCCAGCTCACTGGGAAAAAATACGATGCATAGTTTTATAGCTAGCAAAAAAATATGTGAATGAGCGGAGTTGTTATTTAACAAATTGAGCGCAATTTACAAGTGAAAGGCTCTTAAATGAATCGAATAAAAATTAATAAAAATAAAATGTACAACTAGGTTTCGGGTTTGTATTCCGGGATAGGTAGATAGAAGGGGACTAAAAGGTTATAATAAAATCAATAAATAAAATAAATAATTAATTATCACTATTAATATAATATTATAATAATAACAGCAGTAATAATAATAATATAAAAATTGTGATAGTAATGATAATGATGATAATGATAATGATAATGCTAATGATAATGATAATGATAATGATAATGATAATGATAATGATAATGATAATGATAATGATAATGATAATGATAATGATAATGATAATGATAATGATAATGATAATGATAATGATAATGATAATGATAATGATAATGATAATGATAATGATAATGATAATGATAATGATAATGATAATGATACAATCAGAATAATTATAATGATACAATCAGAATAATTATAATGATACAATCAGAATAATTATAATGATACAATCAGAATAAATATAATGATAACCGGAATAATTTAAATAATAACCAGAATAATTATAATAATTAATAATTATAATAAAGGCATTGGTCGGTTCACATATCAAAGATCATATTTCTCGAAGATATAAAGCTCTTAAGCTTTTTGCTATGCACGCGATCAGGCTCAGAAGGAACACAAACTAACAACAATTTGATTCTTTTTGTCTTTAAATAATTTATATAAATACACACGAATATTTATATCAATTACTTTATTTATGTTTAACACTTTTGCAATTTTCAATTTGCAAAAAAATCTCTTGGTTTAATCTTTAATCGCATTTGCGTGGCATTTAAAGCGGCTGACCACGACAAAAAAGCGCGAAGCCTAATTGAATATTGATTGGGCTTTATGCGATTCAACGAAATTAACATACATATATGTACATATATATTAACATATATTAACATATATTAACATTTATATACATATGTATAAACCTTGCGCAAACAGAAAACTGTGGGACAATTAAACTATTTAAATTAAAGTATGGTTTCTTGTTGTTGTTTTATTATTAATAAGCCTTAAAGGTGGATTTCACTCAATAAGTAGTCTATTAAAAATGCATTTTAAGCATTTGTGCATTATAAACCTTAAAAATTGTTGTTATTTAAATGCTTCAGTTTTATTTTTTTTTATTAAAATATTCACACTTGCCAAAATTTGCAATTTCTCTTCGAGTATTTTCAGTTAGCTGTCGAAAATGAACACAAAAACAGCAAACAAATTTTCCAAAAAAATTTCCATTTCTGTTAATATTTTTACATTGAAGTTTTGCACCAAAAATACAAAAAAAAAAATTAGAGAAAATAATTTATTCACACACAAATTTGAGACACTAACCAAATGAACAACAGTTTTTGATTTGTTTTGTTTGGTTTTGTCGCCGATTGTCGTTGTTGCAGGCAAAGGCAATGGAAATTGCGCTTCAGCTGCTGCTGCTTCGGCGCCCGCGCCCACACACAGACAAGAACAAACACGTCGTGCCGTCGGCAATGCTGAACGAGAACTAGAAACTGAAATCACTTTGCGCCAGAGACACAGCCACAACGCAAGCAGGCAGCAGAGCCAGCGACTCTGTCGACGGACGCAGAGCGTTTGGTTCCACACATTTTGCCAGCGTGCGTGCGTAGACGGCGACGTCAACGTTGACGGCGGCGTCCACATCGTTGCGAATTCTCTGGCAATCCCAACGACGCGACGATTCGCACGACTCCAAAATCGCATGCGAGAAAACACTTGTATGATGTTGGACTGCTAGTATAAATCGCACTAGGGAAATTTACAAGCACAACTTAAAGGCGAGAGCGCGAGCGAGCAAGAGAGAGATGGCCAGATAGAGAGCGAGTGCACAGATAGTAAAAAATTTCCCTGTTCTTGTCGCAGCGGCGAACACGAGTGCCATAAACGAACGGCACGAATCGGCTTGAAGGCACCGACGAGCCGTAAACAGCTGCATGCTGTGGTTCTCTGCTGCCGTTCATGTATATGTGTGTGCGCAACTGTGTGTGTGTGTGTGTTGTGAGTGAGAGTGTGTGGGTGAGGCAGCCTCGCAGGCCAAGCCAAAATGTTGGCCTACCTGTTGCTTAGCAACTCGGCAGCGCGCCCAGACGCGCGCTTCATTATCATTGTCAGCATGCCAAATGATGGGGCAGGTGGTGAGGAGGGATGGTGGAGGCATTGGGCGCGAAGTCTCTGCTATGTGCAGATGTTGCACGTTTGCCCGTAAACGTAGCCTGCAACAGCTGTTCGAATCGAAACGAACCGTTAACGGATACTATTAGCATGCCCAAAACTAAAGAAAGGAAATTTTCGACTCGCATGCGAGAGTTGTGGCCGACCCGTCGAAGAGGGTAAATTAAATTGCGTAAAGTACGTGTTAAAAAGAAATAGACACAAAACACACACAAAGGCACATGCACGCACACACACTAACACACACACATAGGGCGAGCAAAAGGGAGCAAGACAAAAAGCTAAGCCTGAGATGGTAAAAAGCACAGCAAATTTTAGCTCCATGTGCGCGCGTGTGTGCGTGCATGTGTGCGTGCATGTGTGTATAAGTGTGTGTGTGTATTTGAAAATTGAACATATTGCGCTGGGATTATAAATCGATTGTAAGAATGAGACACTTGACTCACGTAAAACACAAAAGGCGATAAAAGGCATTCAGAATTCGACTTTTCGAGCCGCACTGACAGCATCTGAAGCCCATTACCGCCGCAGGTTGCTCTGAAATCGAAGCGATTATCGGGGATGGGAAACCAGCCTATCGCATTCCAAATGATAATCATTTTATTGGCTATGAAATATCACAAATGCCAATTCTACTCAAATTACGTAGCACAGACTGCTCCGAACTCAAGCTGAATAATAAATGAATATAATTTCTAGCAACAAGTTGACTTTTTGCAGCCTGTACTCAATAAAAATTAGAAAAACTGGCATATTAGACAATATATTTATACAATAAATTTTTAATGTGCTTTGAGAACTATAGATAACTATTTTACGATCTAATCCAGAGATGGATTTTATCTAATTAAATTTCGCATTGACTAGTTTTGAAACTGAATGGATGCTTAAAATAGAAACACAAAAGTTATGTAAAGTCCTATCCAAAATAATTGTCCTCCCCTATGAAAGAAATTTGCTATAGGCACACAAAAAAATATTTAAAACACCTTTAAAGTTATGAAAGAAAATACCTTGAAGTGCCTTTTACGAAACAAGCTCAAAAGTATGCAGTACTCTAATTAGCCGCAACCCAAAAGAGGAATTTAAGGAATACCATATACAATACATATACATATATATATATATATATATATGTATATATATATGTATATACCCCTGTATATACAGAAATTATCTGAGAACAGGTTATGTCAATACTTGAAATGAGCAAAAATTATCAAACATGATTAGCGCAAGACATTAACAGGCGGACAAAAAGCCTTGCACGACTAGCAAATACCCCGTAAGAAGTAAGTGAAGTAAATGCAAACGTATCAAATTTAAATATCTACCTATAATATAAAATATCCAAAGCAAATTAACAGAAATTTTAAAAATGTATATAAAAAGCATAAGATCGCGTCGGACTAGAGTATTTAGAATTAAATGGAAAACTGTACACAAGATTGGTAACAAGCAAAGAGGTATTCAAACCCAGCCGTTTTAGGTCGTTATTCTCAAGTAACTGTTAACCGTTTCAGCATCTTTTTTCGTCAGTTGTCTAATTAATGACCGCTAAATATGCTTCGTGCCGTGCATTGATTATGGGCTATATCAAGGGTATTTTGTTTGTAATACTCATTGCGGCTGCCCAAGCCTGGCCTGGTCTGTCCTGGCTTGTTGTTGTTGTTGTTGTTGCTGTTTGCGGTTCCTCTTGTTTGCATTCGGCAGCAGCAGCCGCAGCAGCAGCGCACGTAACGGCAAATGCCACTCAACACTCAACACTCCACATGCCAAATACAAACACACGCGCAAAAGAAGCAACACAGATGGAAGCGTTGGCTGCGCCAGCAGAACCACAGTTAGAAACGGCGCCAGGTCTTCAAGTAAGGCAGCGGGCAGCAGTCAGTGGCGTCGTGGTCGGGTCGGTGGTCTACGTTGGACGGGGAGGGGGGGCATATTGGCTACGATGTCGAAGTCGAAGTCGCCGTCGAAGTAGAAAAGTGTAAACAAGAAACGTGATATTTGACAGATGACTGTAGATATTTAGATACCAACATAAATACTACTTATGCCCAATGTCGCTTTCTCTCTTACTCTGCCTATCCCACACCTCTCTCTCTCCCCCCCCCCTCCCACCTGCCATAGCTAGCTGAGTCAAGCACACACACGCACACCCGCACACTCGCACTTCCCCCACAGTCGCACTTCCCCCTGCACAGCTGCCACTGTCTCTGGGGTCTTATTGATTTTCTGCTGGCTTTCACAGCCACTTGCCGCTTGGTTTGAAGTGCCAGCCACGCATAAAGGACGTAGCCAAAAAGAGAAACAGAGTGAGCGAGAGAGAGAGAGAGAGAGAGAGAGACTGGAAAAAAATGATGAAGGCAAAAAGAGACAAATAAGACAAAAAATTAAACAAGCACCAAAAAAAATAAAATAAGCGAAATGAGCACAAAAGAATCGAAAGATGCAAATATTGTAATGGATTCATGTTGTTCGTTGTATGTTGCCCGCACCCCTCTCTGCGCCTCTTACTTAATTTAACCATCAGCTACTCCTTATGTACATATGTCTCTGTGTGTGTATGGCGTATGCTCAACATTGACACAAGGCTACTCAAACACAATTTATTGCTCACTAATAGTAATTAAATTTCATTAAAGTTTATTTTCACCAAAAGCCCAAAAAAACAACTCTATTAGACAGGCAGAAATATAACCCGATGGGATTATTGGAAGTATTCGATTTTATAAATTCACTTAAAGCTCTTGGTTCTTTAAAGGTATTTACATTCTTCTAAAGATGACAAAAATGTGGAAGAAACGTTATCAAATTTAAAATTAAAAATTCACTGAAAATAAAGCTTATAAATCAAGATAATTTAACGGGTTATTATTATTTGACCCATCACATACAAAGTATACGTCATGTTGACCCCACCAAATATTACGAATATGCAGGTTCATCAACTTTGGTATAAGTCTAGACTTATTCCAACATTACCCTACTCTCCAGTGGCATATAGAACCTATTGTTAATATATATATATATTTATACATTTAAACCACAGTTAATGACTCTGCGTATACGTAATATTTAGTGGAGCCGTTGAATTGTTTATATTTAGTGCTCGTTTAATTATCTAAATTTTTGGGGTTTCTCCTTAATTAGTCTTTAATTCTATGACGCATCACATACAAAGTATACACCACGTCGAGCCCACCAAATATTACGTATACGACGGGTCATCAGCTTTGGTATAAAGTCCTAGTCCTATTCAAAGATAACCCTACTCTTAATTGACTTATATATGTACATATATGTGTATATATTGGTTAGATGTACTCACAATCATAATAGTCATATCGATCCGCCTCGCTGGGATTATTGCTGCCCATGATTTTGCCAAAAACTGCAAACAGAATAAAAAAATGGTTGTTGAGTCTGTGGAGTGGAGGGGGGGAGTACAATTAAATATACAAACAAAAAAGAAAATGGCGCAATTCAATTAAAATCGCTGTGCGGCAAGGAAAGGAAAATGGACACTCAAAAGGGTTAACATGAAAATGCAGTTGGGTCAAACAGTTAAACGCCGCGTTTAAGGGCTTCATCGAGATTGGCAAGGGAATCGGTATGGGAATTATAAACTGTGATTTGAATATATGCGTATGCAATGCCCTGTGGCGGGGGGATTGGCGGGGCGGTCAGCTAACTCACATTTGACAAAACTCCGGCGAATGCGAACGAAACACGAAACGGAGCGGGATAGTTGCGTTAGGTCCTCGGGATGGGCGCCGCTCTGCATGCAATGGATGGGCGCCAGTGGCGTGATGCGGCAGCGACTGTGGCTGCGACTGCGACGCCGACGCTCCAGCAATGGTATTGCCACAAAGCTGTGCTCCACTGGGGCGCCTTCGGTTGCTCCACCAGCTTCCACAGACGGCAGCGTTGAGTCACCAGGTGTGATGCTGCCGTTGTCGTTGTTGTTATGATTGTTGCTGCTGTTATTATTATTGTTATTGCTGCTGCTGCTGCTGTTGTTGTTGTTATTGTTGTTGTTGTTGTAACTGATGATGGTAATGACATTGACGGTACCCCGCAATGGGCTTGAGTTCGTCGCTGCCGTTGCTGCAAAAAAAAAACAAAACAAAAAAGAGGAAAAGTTGAAAATTCTCATCAATTGCTTTGCTGATTTGTGATTTTACCAAAACAAAAAAAAAAACAACAGCAAAATATAAAAAAAATTTAGAAAACTGCAAAATCGGAAAATGGGAAAATCCCATTTCGCACGCGACGCATATGTGACAAATTTTTGCTGTCCCGTGCAATTCTGATTTTACTTTGTTTTTTTGTTCCCCCCCACTTGCGAATGTCGTAAATCATTCAAATTTGCATTC